GAAATAACAAAAAAAAGAAAAAAACTGATAGTTAAAAAAAGTATTACAACTGAGTGTTGACCGAGACTTGAAAAATTAGTATTTCCGAGTTGAACAAAGGAAAGACATGATAAACTTAGGGAAGAAACGTATAAATACATGGAAATATTGCTTGAGGATAAAGCTCAAGTGAGAAGTGGCATGAGAAAAGTCAAGAGAGCCTAGATTATGAAGGGTCTTGAAATCCATGCAAGTTTACTTTATCCTAGGAGCAAAACGTCCCAAGAAAAATACTAATCAGTTCTGTTTATTAAGTAGTTAGATCCAGAAAAGCAATTATTAATTGGAATGTCTGTGCCTACTGGGCACTGTACAAACTCTTAAACCTTGGAATCATATTGAACATTGCCACTTTCCTGTTCTATAATAATTTTCACGTGATACTTGCTCTTCATCATAGCAGATACCAAAAACCCCGCCTCACAAAGATATGTCACTGAAAGGAAAGTACTGTGGTCTAACAATGAAACTTTGAACTACCTTGAACTAATAAGTTTGCAATGCTGTCTGACAGACATCAGGTATCACTGTTTCAACAAAGGGCAGAGTAGAGACATTAATTGCTGCACAAGTTATTTTAATTATAAATTAATAAAAGTCTACATTAAATCTTATAAACTAACCACTTATGAGAATATATAAAAACTGAATGAGCCTACATTATTTGGTACTTTGGAAACTTCATAAGTTCAACATAACTATTCCCTTTCCAAACAGAATTTAAAGATGACAAACTTTATAAAACACATATAATTTTGTTAATCAGGTTGACATTCTGAACATCTTCTTTTTCAGTTCAGCTGTTTTCTCATCTATCCTAGCATAACATTCCTCTGCTGCCTTTTCAATGCCTTCATGGTATTTCTCCAAAGCAGTTTTCATGTTTAGAAATATTTCCTAAGTAGAAAATAAAATAGAATAAGAATTATTCCATGCAACCTAAACTAAAAATGAGTTATAAGAATTTCAATAGTTTCACTCATATTTATTAACAATTTAAAACCTAAACGCTTATGCATACACACATGTACATGTGTGTGCCTGCTCTTATTAATAATTCACCCTGCAAGCTGCACTAACACATCAAAAAAGTCTGCCACTTAGAACAAAGCAGAGACATGACAATGGCTAGAATTCCAAGACATTAAGAACAAACATTTCTAATTATCAAGGAAAAAATTTCACTTTGGAGCTTTCCATGTTAAACATGGAAAATACCTAGATTACTGTAGATAATGATTACCTCTGCATTTGACCTTGATGTTCATTAAAGGATATGTAAACAGACTTAATAAGTAATCTATAGGACCGAAAAATATATTAATACCTTTAAGAGTTTTTTAATAAACTGATCAAGTGGTTTAAACCTATATGGATGTGTTAAGAATTAAAAAATGAGAACAGAACAATTTTTATAGATTAAATAAGAAATTAGCCTATACACATTTTCATCTATCTCCTACTTATCAAATATAATATTAATCTTCTTTTATTATTCAATCTTCTAGACAAAAAAATTCTCAAACCATGATACAAGTAACAGTATAAGCATAAGACATGCTTTGCTGCTGAAATAAAACTGCAGCCCTTTTTCAACAGGGGAAAAAAGCAGTAAATGGGTATAATGTTTTCAATTTTAAGCATCTCTTCCATTAAGTTTTTCTTAAACCTATAGTTTTGGCTACTACTTATCTTAGACTTAAATTCTAGCAGAGATACTGATTTTGAATAAATTACATAGATTATAATTTAATATAGCATAAATTCATAATGTTCCAGGAAAAGAAAACTATTTCCAGCAACTCTGCTACTTATGCAAGTTTGAGAACTATTACTCCAAATTAGGCAAATATAAATATACATCTAAGATTAAACACTCTCCAAAAATTCACTTATTAAATCCTAATACAAAAATAAGAGTGTGTTTAGATTTCCAAGATCTAAGGAGGTACCAAATTACACTTTGACAAGATATGAACCATTATAAAAATCAAAAAATTCTGGAAGCTTTATTGCTTAAATCTTATAGAAAAAAAAAAGGTGAATTAATTGCTAGCTTGTGTGAATGCCATTTTTTAAAAAAGCAGTACATTCAGCAACTATAGATCAATTTAACTTCCTAGTTCTACAGGGGTATATGTTTATTCATACTAAAAAGAACTGAATAAATTTGGTAGAAAGATTATGTGTGAGAAACTATCAAAACTAAGTGTGGCTAAATAAAGACATACAATCTATAAATATCTAAACCAACCATTTCAACATACTCAAAGGAGCACTTTCCTCCTAAGAGTGAATATACTCTCAAGGAGGAACCAAATTCTGCAGAAAGAGCCATAGTAAATAAATAAAGCACTAAAGCCCAATCCCAGTGACGTGTACACAGAAGCAAACAAACACCTGAAGTTCTAAGCCAACCCTCAAAAGATGTTTAATGGTGACAGATCATAGCCCTGACAAATGCTATATATTTTGGAGTTTCCAATTAAATTCTATACCCAATTGGAACTTTATAATATTAACTCACAATAATTGACATATAATAAGTCTTACTGTGATGGCCTTCACTGAAGTTAAATATTTTAAAATTCAAAGTCTAGTTCTGTGCTGTCTACTATGGTAACCCTTGGCCACATGTGGCTATTTAAATTTAACAGAATGTAAAAAATAAATAAATAAATAAATTTAACAGAATTTAAATTAAATAAAAATTCAGTTCCTCAGTTGCACTAGTCACAAGTCAAGGGCTCAATAGCCACATGT